GTATTCGTTGTGTTTTTATATAGTGTTGGGTGCGTGATGTTTTTTCTCGCTCTTCTGGCTGAATATGTGCAGGCTGTTCATTCATCCGTGAATCGCAAGGTAAAGTTCTTTCTCGCTAAAGAGGACGGCGAGGAAAAGAAATAGCAAGCGTCGCTGTATTGTGACTTTTATATTTCATTGTCTTTGTGAATGGCCTGGGTGTTAAGCATGTGCGCATAACGTTTGTGCATGTTCGAAATGTAGAATGGCTTATTTTGTATTGAAAGAAAGGTATTTTTTATCTGTGTACTTTAATAACTAGTTGATTTTTGTCTTTTCTCTTCTTCACTAATATGTATAAAGGTATTTGAGAAGGGGAAGAGGAAAAAGTATGAATCGATTTTTTTTACTATTGTATCGATACGTGTAGGAAGAATGTAAAATAGGTATCACGCTTGTTGATGATATGAATCAGTATAAATGAATCACTTGAGATTTGAAATTTATAGTTGATGATAATAATAGAGATTTCTTGTTTTTATTTATATTACTAAAGACGAATTTTCGACTGTAATCGGTCATTGTCAACTTTAAAACGATGATTTTGGACTCTGTATTATTAATTTGTATATTGTTCTGTACGTGAAATAAAAACGAATGAGGCGAGATTAACAATATATAGCGATATTAATTGAGAATGGAAGACCTATTGATGCTATGCGCATCAACTCCTATCCAACTCCATCACAATTTAGATCGATGGTCTATGAAAACGAGAGAATGACTATGTCAATAGAAGCCATAAATTTTCATCTTCTGCAATGGTCAAGGAAAGTTTCGGCTGAATCGGATTGTGCATCTGCTAGTAGATGAAATGCAAAATTGATCATTTTTTTACCAATTCATATCAATGACGCTATTGGTGACTAAAATTCCGATTTAGAGATTGAATGGAAAATGTTGAACACAAGCTTCATGTTGTTTGCAAAGAATAGATTTAGTAGAAGAAAAGTGGTTGAGACCGACTCTAATGATCAGATTGATTGGCTTTATGCTTTCATTTATTTAATCCTCAATTGATGATGAATCGATTTGTCTCTTTTTTGTCAAATAGAAGCATTCAAAAAAAAGCAAATCAATTTCACTTTTATTTTGGTCCTTCGAAGATATTTATAATTTATTTCCTTTATTACTGTAATATATGAACTTGATTAGATTTATGTAAAAGCTACAATTTTAATCAAACTTTCAAGAGCATAGCGATGTTTGATNTACTTGTAGAACCTAGGCTCGGGACCTGGGAGTTGAAGCACGAAACATGCGTTTTCTAACACGTATAGAAAGAGTGGGTGTGGGTGTGGATAAATAATATATCTACACCCATACTCATACCCACACCCACCCACTCATTCAGGTGGGAAAAGTGAATTTTCTCAACAATGCTAAGGAACTACGTTAAGACCATACGTAACTTTTTTCTTATCAATCTGATGGTTCGAATGCTATATAAAAAATAGCTTCAGCTCTTATAGTAAAAAAAATGAGATAGGCCTACAATGTGAAGTATCGGTCCAATCAAAGCTAGTTGGGTCTTGTTAAACTAGCCAAATGGGACCATATTGATCAAATGTGATCAAAATTTCCTAAATACCATAGTTTAATGTGCTGAATTTAAATATACTAGTTTTATCGAAAAAAAACTAATGTAAGATAGAGTAATCTTCAGATTTCTAGTGAAAAGGCTATTTTTGCTTTTTTAAAATTTCTTGTATTTCGTAAATTTCTTGGGCCAGACGACGTCTAAGATGTTAAAAACTATATATTCTTAACCAGCGTCAAAAACTCTATCGATTGATGTACAACTTAACTAAATTTATTTTCTGCTCAACTTTTGCATTAGCTGCACCTTACACTATGATGTTCGATTTCTGAATTTGAATTTTAGTCTGTCTTAATTCTCTGTTTCGTTAACAAAAATTCACATATTCGAGAGACCCATAGCGTAAATTTCAAGAATAGGTTTCCTGAATATGAATCGTCTAAAGCAATGCTTGAAATTTTGAAGAGAGTAATTTATGAACAAAAAATTTGATATGTGGCTAACTCTTTTCTAAAGATTCATTATTGGAGACTTGAAAGGATTCTCATAATCGAGAGGAAAAGAGTAGATGCGTGTTGATCGCAATTGAAACAACGGTTAAGGCGTATGGTAGGGCGGTTTTTTTCAACTCCACCCATATCTTTGACAAATCCATGCATTTCGTTTATTTTATTTTATTTTTTTGAAAAATGGCTGATTCCTATTTTAAAGAAAATTAGTAAATGCTAGCCTATTTGCAATAATTGAAACTATGTTTTTGTACTCATCGTTGAAGATTGATCTAGCTAAACCATATTCCAAAGTTGTAGTTGAAAGAAAATATAGGACCGAATGAGTTCAAAGTGTTTTCACTCCAACTACTCAAGTATTATTTTGTAAAGGTATTTAGTGTTATTTTGTTTCAATGAATTTTCATGATTTCTATGTTTGATGTGCGATATTTATGAATTATGTGTATAGAAGAGTTATCGATAAATGTGAATCTGATATTTTACTATCAATTAGTTCAAATAAATGCATCTACTCGAATGTGTTGGAAGAAGGTGCAGTTGTGAGGAAGAATATGTTTCAATACACACCGACATCCACCCTCTTGAATACATGAATAGTGTCTTGAGAAAAACTTGTCAGTGTAGCACCTATCGGTGCTAAAATGTGGAACTCACCCTTTTGCATGTGGAAATATGTATTTATATTTTTCTTGGACTGTGATATACGTTGCGTATATTAAATAGTGTATTCAGTAATATGATAAGAATTTCTATCCCAATTAAATTATATTGAAAGTCTTGTTGTAGATGATTGATAATATTTTACGTAAACGTAAAAGCTTCGACAATTAAATTAAGTTTTTGTATGATTAAAATTACAATTTTATATGTTAATTATCACTGGATAGATTGATCTGTGAATATCGCAAACACAATTAGCATTCGTATTTTATGGGGTTATTGAGAACTTTTCTAATAACTTTGTATATAGTGTAACACTGAATTGTTTTTGTTTAATAAAATAGTTATTAATATTCTTTTTCAAAGCTGTAGTTTTATAAGTTTATATTAAAAAAAAAAGGTTATGAAATATTTTATTGTTTTTGTAAATAATCTGCAAAACAGAATTTAATAAAGAACGTATCTGTAATCGACAAAAAATGACCAGTAACAAAAAGATTAATTTTCGTAACTGATTTTTCTTTTTTTTTTAAAGCAATACGTTGTAAGAAAATTAGCTTGATGTAATATTAATTAATAATAGTTTATTGTGGGTATTTGTTGTGAAATCGCTTTTTGTATGATGTTGATAGCTTTTATGTAGATGTTTTTTAATAATTTTTGTTTCTTTGCTCAATATGCTATTATAGATTGATACTTTGTTGAAAATGTTTCCATAGTTGATTATATATAATTTACTACTACTAGTGGTTTTATGAGGATGTTGGTTTCATGTTCTTATTGTAATTTTTAAAGTAAGTATCTTATGGTTATATATTTCGTTTGAAGGCGTCTGTTTTATAAGTATATTATAATTTTTTTCTTTGAAGGCGCGTATTTTATAAATATATTATAATTTACAAATAGTGAATTGTGGAGAAACATAGTGGTATATTTTTATTAATTAATATTTAAATTGTTATTTAGTTAATTCAAATGGATTGCCATAAAGCATGTAATTGGTGTGGATGCGAAGTAAATGCTTCTATTTATAATGATGAACATTCATATTGTTCATTAACCTGTAAAACTTATTATAAACTGTATATGAATGTTGAGACAATATTGGAACTCAGAAATACTAGTGTATCTAGTGATAACATAGAAAAAGAGTGGTATGGTCTTTTCAAAATAATAATGAACGATCGTTCATGTTTATATGCTAATCGTCGTGATAATATTGGATTTGAAATTGGTTCCTTGTATCAAATATACAAGTTATCTATTCAAAATGGTTTTAAGGCAATTATGGATTGCGATGTTTTCGAACATTTAGAGGACTTCGCATTTTTTTTACGTACCGAGACGAAATGATTAATGGACATAGTGCATTCTATAATAAATATTTAATTTAATAATCGTGATAATGTTATAATCATTTAGTTCTTTTTTTTAAATAATAAATACAAGAAAAAAAATGAAATTATGACTTTTTATTAGATGATAGGCATACTTTTCTATGTGAAAAACTTGTCTAAAAGAAAAGGAATTGGAATGTAAAAAGAAGTATTAAATTCGGTTTTGTTTTTCGAAAATATTAAAGTAAAAGGTAGTCGTATTTTATAAATTGGCAAAATTATTGCTGATGGTTCTATTGTTTATGGCTAAAGAAACTATTTTATCTGTTGTTTTAAACAAAAGACAACGAATACCATATTGTTTTAAAGAATTAATGTAAAATGGTATGTTCATACAGGGAAATTTTAGTTCGTAATAATAACATGTTTTAAGAGTTATCGAAGTTTATGTTATTTATTTCATATAATTATTATAGTATGATTTAGTACAATAAACTTTTTCGATCTTATTAATAAATATTGAAATCTTAGACAACAAATGAAAATAAAATGTTCTGTTTAATAATAAAAGTATATTGCTAATATATTAGTATTTACTTTATTATTCATACATGGTAACATTAAATAATAACTAATTTTATATATTGCATTTGGCAACGTAACTTGTTAATGCTTTAGAAATTATGTAAATGTATATATTTGAACGGTTTTGTCATCGAGAAAGAATTAAAAACTGTATGTCCTTTTGATACTTAATATATATTATAGTGACTTTAAAAATGCTCGAATGTTTACAAAATATACTTAATCAAAAAGACTTTTTATTCTTTACAATGTTTATTTTTTTTTTTAATTTAACTATACGAAAAAGATGAATATCAGAAAAATAACTATTCCACTAGATACATTTTTTTATATATTTGACATGAGTTCAAAACAAAATTTATTTTGAATATCAAACATGTCACAATTTCTTTTTCCTAATTCAAATATCGCATTGCTACCAGTAACATTGTTGAAAGAATCGAAATAATAATTATCGTAATAGATAGATCCTTGTGTATGATTGCCGATATGTAAAGAACAATGAAGGAATTCGGATGTCGAAAATGCATGTGGAACCAATAATTTGAATCCTCGTTTCAAATATTTATTAATGCGAATGGCTATACGTGGAAAATCCATATGATCTCGAGTTAAACCATAATGAATAATTGTTCTTGTTCGTATAGATTCGATTGCTGCAGATGTAGCAAGTACTTTTACGCCATTAAATATAAATTGAGGTAAGTCCATATCAAACGAAGTGAGAACTGACGAAGGTGAGCAATTACCATGTATATATACAAATTGTAGTTTGACCTGCTTCTCTTTTTCGAATAAACTATCAACGTTGGTGTTTATTCGAATAACCAAATTTACAATACGACTTCGAGCTTGATTAGTACGTTGTACAAAGTAACATTGCATTAGTTTACTTTGAATTATTTTCTATTAAACAATATAAAATAAAATCTAAGATGGCATTATTAATAATGTTTGTTATAATCTTACGACTGATTTCAAGAAATTTGTTTTATTATTGCCTTTGTAAAAAAAATCACAATCTTGACCGTCAAATACTTGAGCATTGGTTAGGCAACATGTAACTACAGAGCCACCAGCAAGATAAAACTCGTTATAGTCGATCAAATGAGTCCATCTATTTATTATTATAAACGAAATTAATATTTTATGAACAATTGTAAATCATTTGAAACAGTTTTAAAATAAAATACAATGATTTTATTGTACTGTTCAACATTTAATAAATCTTGGTTATATTACATACTTATCAAAATGGAATTTAGTATTTATGTTATCTATAAAATCGGTAAATGAAGATACAAATTGTGGTTGTTCAATTTTCTTTCTGCTATCGAATATTTTAAATAGTTTATGTTCAATAATAGTGAGATCTCGTCGAGCAATTAATTCTTCTTCTTCAAAAACATCAAATAGCTTTTGTTGTTGTTTGTACAATGGACAGGTAAATGATATAAGTCGACAATAAACAGAATGAATATTAGTTTGTTTAAAAATGTGTGCTGCTTGGATTGTTTCACGATCAAATCCTAATACTATTGTACATGGCCATTGTATACTTGATCCATGTACTTTTAAATTCCCTTCTTCAATATATAATTTATTATTACTTTGCGAACACATTGTCCGATATTCATTTATCATATTTATTGATTTATGACATAAAAAAAAAGATTTAAATGCTCTAATTTCATGTAAATCATTTTCAGCATGAATTTCAATATTGAAAGAGTTCATGTTTAAACCTATTTTATATTGTGAACAATGCTAAATTATCAAGATAATCGATATAATAAACAATAGATAAATGAAATTGATAAAATAAGAACGATTCAAACAAGCTAATACACAACTGCTAATTCAATTGAAAGAGAACACAAAAGGTTAATTTTTTAACGCGGGTAAGAAATTTATTGCTAATTAATCTGATATTTTATGTTTGATTTTTAAAATGGCATAGATATAGTATATGTTCCCATGATTATTCTTGATATTTATGAACCTACTGTGTGTGAAAGAGTACAGTTTTCGACATATATTTTTATTATTTTATATTTTTATTTATCTAAATAAAAGTAATGCTGATTAGATAAGTATACAATATTTGCTTGACATTGTACAATATTTCATTTGTTTATTATTGTTGTTCATAAATGTGATGAATATTAGTTTTAATAAATCTGCGAATTATTTCTATGGCAAAAGTGAGAAGATTTATTTTTTCGAGCATTAGTTTCTTTGTAAAAAGTGGGCGCTATAGAAATTGAATTGAATAGTTAACTTACTTTTTTTGTATTTTGTGTTTTGTACAGCATAACAATAATATGTAAGAAAATGTTATAGTAATATGTAAAAAAAATGGCAAAAACACCACATCACAACAAAGAACATAAACGAAAACCATCTTCTTGTTGGGCTGTTATAAAACTTGCACCATCCCAAATTAAAAAACGTAATCGAAATATTAAACCATGTAAAAAGACGAAAAACAATAGAAATTGCAAACCTTCAGCAAGTAAAAAAACGAATCAGTATTCAAAGCCATCAGCAAAACAACGTCATAGTCGTAAATTAAAAAGAATTGATACAAATAATACAGAAACTATAATAGATCTGACTTCTGAAAAGTTCGAATCGTCGATTGTAGAAGATTTAGAGTCTTCTGAGATACATCGATTTTTAAATAAAAGGTTTTTATTGATTTGTATAAATTTATAATATAAATTATAGCTATTCAATAGATATTTTTCTACAATTCTTCAACAATGGAGTTTTTGTAGTTGTTGTATGGCCTTATATCCTCAAAGTCAATTAAAAATTGCATCCAAAAATCACGAAGTATACCATGATACGGTTCATGGTGAATTTATATGCCGAAAATGTCATGAGTTTAATCCATCAATTGATTATCCTCATTGCCCATTTGCATACAATAAAAACAAGTTGGCAGTTCCGGTTATACCTGAAGATTTAATATTAGGCTTTATGGAACAAAGAGCAATTGCACTAACTCATATATATATGAGTATTATACTGGTTCGTGGTCATCAAGCTGCAATGAAAGGACAAATAGTTCATTTTCGTGTTGATACAGATGTTATTGTTGGTGATTTGTTACCATTTCCAAGATGTTACGAGTTTTTAGCAGTCGTACAAGAAAAACCATATGAAAAAAATGAAATTCATACGACTGTTTCTTATTCATTGAGTCCAGTACAAGTTTTAAAGGCTTTATTATACTTGAAACAAAATAATCATTTATATACTGCTAAAAGATTTATGTCAATAGTTGAAATGGAAGAAATATTTAAATGTCAAGAGGAGATTATTACACCAATTCGAATTATAGATAGTTATGCTTATAATAATTCTACTACTACAACACCAATCTTTAATTCATCGAACATTTTGTCTGGGCCAAAGTATTAACATAAATAAAAAAATATCAATTTTTATTTCATATTGTAGGCGTATTATTCCATGTGTTGAAAATGCAACATGGCAAGTTGAGCCGTATTTGGAAGAAAGTACATATCCATGGCTATACCCTAACGGTAAGGGTGGTGAAGCAGATCCAGAACGACCTCTTGCTTTAACTATACGTGATTATTATAAACAACGTTTAAAATTTGTTGATAACCGATGGCAAAAAGATCCCACTTGGATTTTTCGATCACTTAATTTATTACAGAGAGAAGATTTACGTAAAGCTGTTAACTATCAAGTAAAAAAGAAATATGAAAATGGTAAATTGTGTTACTTAATTTATCCAGGTAAATAGACTAGAAATAAGAGCATAAATGTTAAATAATAAAAAGTGATATCATAAAATGAGCAACTTGCTAATATTTATATTCTACTATATTAGACATAGGATCAGTTCTTCGTGGCACTTCTGCTTTTTGGGTTAAAGCAAAACGTCATCTTCGGTCTATGTATGCAACACTTGGAAAGCCTTTTATTTTTTTTTCGATAAATTTGCAAGATGATGTGGAGTTTTTAACCAATATTGATTCTGATAAATTTGGATCTCCAAGCAATCCTAAATATGATATAATTGATTCTTTATCTGATGATGACTACATTATGTTAGTAAATGAATATCCAGGTCTTGTTGCAAGAATGTGTAAACGTCGAATGAATGCTTTTGAACAATATATAAATGATAAAAAGCATCCGTTTCTTATTGATTATATAGTTTCTCATTATTTTCTGAAAACCGAATTTCAACGAGACGGATTGCCACATTTACATGGTTTGTTATGGATTGAAAATCCACCTTCTACTGAAACAGATGAAGGACGTCAATCAATACTTGATTTTCTTGATAAATATCTTTGTACTGATTTACCTGATCGAGATTCACAACCTGTACTCTATAAACTTGTTCGAAAAAAACAATGGCACGCACATACATTCACATGCAATAAAAGTAAAATAAATTGTGAGTAATTATTTATTTAATATCAATTATATTCCACTAGATAAACCATTTGTACGAATACGAAGGGGAAATAAAAATCTAATATCAAAAGATAAAGATCAACAAAAAGATAAAACTGTTGATGCTGAATGCATTAATAAAAAGAATGAAGATGAAATATATGAAAAAGTTGATCCGGATAACGATCCTGATTTGATTGGCATAGAAATTGAGCGACGTGAATTTTTTGAACGTGCAAGTTGTCGATTTGGTAAACCTGATCCATTGGCTTCTAAAACACATTTCCGTACTCACAATGAAGCTAGAATATTAGTTCGCGGTGACCGGGATATTATTATGAAACGACTCACACAAGAAGTAATTATATCCATATATATGTAAGACAAACGAAGAATGAGTTTCGACAAGAATTTCTATTCATTTTAAGACTCTAATAAAATTTTTGAAACCGGTATGAAGTTTTGTAAAATGGTATAGTTGAGATTTTAGATATGAGATTTGAACTTTGGTGAAACATTACAAAATTTAAAAATTTTTTGTTTGAATGTTTTTAATCTGAACCTTTATATGTATATTCGAGTATTTCGAAGCCTTTAAGAGTGTTGTAAACGTAAATATTTTGGGTTTTATTTGTAAATTTTTGAGTTATATTGAAATTAATACAAGTTATATAAAGTGATCTAAATCTTCTAGCAGTTTAGAAGATTTGTAAATAATTTTTTTAATATAAATGTTTTTGAAAAATTTGCTTTTCATCTATTTTATCTTTTATCGAGGTTATTTTAGACTAATAAAATTTAAAATGCTCTTGTTTCTCCCTCAGCAAGTTAGTAATTTTCTTATTCTATTAATAGTCACGGCGAATTGTACCATATAATATCAATATACTTAAAACATTCAGATGTAATCATGACATACAAATTGTCACTGATCCATGGGCAGCAGCTGAATATCTTTTTTCGTACATTAGTAAAGAATCTCAAATGGAAAATGATTTAGTACAAAAATTAGCTGGATCTGCTTGTTACAGTATTGAAGAAGCAAGAAAAGTTTTACTTAAAACAGGAAATGCTATTCTATCACACCGACAAATTGGAAAAGTTGAAGCTGCCTGGTTAATTTTAGGTATTTAACTTTTATAATCTAACTATGTATATTTTTTATTAAAAAAGGTATACCATTATATCAATGTTCGATGGGTACTATTCATTTGTATATATGTTTACCAACACTTGAAGTTCGTCTGCTTAAAAATTTGAACAAAACGATAGAGTCTCTTAGTGAAGATGACTTTGTAAAAACAATAATTCATCGATACTCACAAAGACCACTAGAACCAGCTGTTATTAATGATATTACATTATTTGAATTCGCAGCGTGGTTTACAATTGATTATAGTCAATCTAATGAAGTGAGCGATGAAAATGATGAACTGTTGCCAAATCCACTATGGCGTACCAGTTATGATGAGCCACCATTGTTGAAAACATCAAGATGCCTTCCACGTATTCAATTAACATGTGGTCGGGCAATGCGCCAGTATGAAAATCCAAAATCTGTAACATTTACTTGTCTTCATGATGATACTGCTCAGTCAATGTATGCCATATTATGTTTAAATATTCCACATCGAAATCCAGTAGTTGAATTTTTGGATGAAAAAGAAGGTAGCAGATATCTGTTTAACATATTTGACACAATTGGTGCGACCTAGTCTAATGTACTGTGGATAGGCTGTCATAAAATGAAAAGGTCCGCAATTTTGCTTTTTCATTTCTCACATTTTGTGAAGCTGTCTGTGCCGATCCTTTTGACAAATCGATCTTTTTAATTTGACAAATAAATGAGGCTATTTGAATTAAACCAGTGCAAAGCTGAAAGAATTGTCTCCTAGCATTATTTTTTTGCAGTGTTTTGACTCTGGGATGGTGATTTTTATCGCATTTAAAAAATCTTTTTATTATAATGGCTCGTGAAGACACCTCTACAAAGTATAATAGACCAAACATTTCGTGCGATCTGTTTGTTTTTCGTCGTTCGCTACCCATGGAAATGCTGAATTATATGTGTGAAAGTTGGAAAGTTTTCATAATTCTTTAGGATATAGTGATTCTATGAAGTGCTAGTTATAATGCTAAATCCCGTTTTTCATGAGCTTTCATTTCGTATAAAATTCCATGTTAATATAATTTGACTTTGCATCTGTATCCTTGGGAAAATATTATTTGCTACACTGTACAATGAAATCATGTCCAATGTGTTAAGTTAAGTCATATATATATATATTCATTTATTTATCCATTTACTTATTTATTTGTGTATTTTATGATATTAGAACCTGATTTATATCATCTACATCAAATGCTTGTACGATATAAAGCAGAATTATATTGTCGTATTTCCACACTTCCTTTAACATATCGAATTCAATTACAAAATCTTTTGAATCATCTCCTTCATATAGATCAGGAAACTTTTAAAATAAATTATCGAGAATCTTACATATTTACCTATCCAACAAATACTGAAAAAAATGATACAAATTTAAATTTAATACGAAACACGAATGCGAGCGACTTAGTAGTACTAAATGACGATGAATTGTCCAAGAATGTAGTTGAAAATACATCAATATCTTCTACAACATTGAAGCAATTAATAAATACAGCAAATCATCAACAAAAATCTCTTATTGATTTTATGCAGACATATTTAGACTACTTATTAAAGCACTCTAGGCGTCCACGAGAAGTATCAAAACCGAAACCTTTTCATATAGTTGTTAATGGACTAGCTGGATCTGGAAAATCTTATGTCATTTCCATAATTGAAAAAATGTTAATTGAATATTGCATTGCAGAATCAGCTACAGTTTCACATGCTCGTAAGAATTTTGGTTTATTGAAAATGGCTCATACAGGCAAAGCAGCATTAAATATTCATGGATCTACTATACATTCTGCTTTAGAAATTGTAAAAATGCAGATACATTATAATTTTAATATTATTATTTGTTTCTTTTTAGTGTCCAGATCGAAGTTCTTCACCAAATAAAATAAATTCTTTTAAACTTTATACATTACGAAATCGACTGCATGGATTATTATTAATAATAATAGATGAAATATCACTTGTTTCTTATTCATTATTACAAAAAATTAATAAACGATTAAATGAAATATTTCAGAAATCACATAATTGTGATTCTTATTTTGGTAATATTCCTGTAATTGTATTTGGAGATATGGCTCAAATAGAACCAGTAGCTGCTAAACAAGTTTTTTATCGACCATCAGGAGAATTGTTTTCATTGTGGCATGATCTATTTCGATCTATAAATTTCGATATTAATATGAGACAAGGTGACGATCGAGTATTTTTTGATTGTTTATGTCGAATGCGAATCGGTATGGAACATTTTATTAGTATGCTCTATTAGAATATGTAATATAATTTAGGGTGTTTGGATGATGAAAACGAACTTTTAATTAAATCGAGAAGTATAAGTCCTGAAGATAACCCTGAAGGTTACAAACAACGATTACAAGAATTGCATTCTTCGGAATTCGAAAATGCTGTTTATGCGTATGGGCTTCGAAAACTTACAAATTTAAGAAATTTACAACAACTGAGAAAACATTCGATTGAAAGTAAAAATCCTATTTTTATGATTAATGCTTTGGATGTAAGAGTTTTTTTTTTTGATATATAATATTATTGCATATGACTAAAGGATTTTACTAATAGAGAGTAGCTATGACTAGTACACCTTTCTTCAAATCTAGCAAAACAAGTCATAAAATTTGTAAAATTAATCTTAAACCTTCAACTGATGAAAATGATTGTGGGTCAATGTACCAACGGATACCAATTTGTGTAGGGGCACGAGTTTTAATTCGACGTAATATAGATGTAGGAAATTATGTCGTTAATGGAACTGAAGCAGTAGTAAAAGAAATAGTTTGGGAAAATCCAAAAGATTTTCTTGCAGCACCATTACTATGTGATGACATATTTTCAACATTTACTAACGTAATTAATACAAAATTGCCTAAATATGTGGAACTTGGTAAATTTAAAATATTTTCAAAGAAACACTAAAAACTACAAGTTTACCTTTAGAATTATTCAATGGTAAAACGTACAAATTGGAACCTCAAGAAACACGATTCAATGATATGAACAAAATCATGATGACTCGGTTACAATTACCTTTAGCACTTGGATATGCTATTACTATCCATCGAAGTCAATGTATGACATATCCAAAATTAGTTGTAGATCTTAGTGGTAAATATTGGAAACCTGGCATGTTTTATACAATACTTAGTAGAACACGTCACATCACAGATATTATTATACTAGCATATGATCGTAAATCTTTTAAAGTATTTAGTATAAATTTAAAAGGTATTTTTAATATAATTGAAATTTTAGGTTTCAAGAGAGGGTTTACAAGAAATTGAACGTTTACAGAGATTAGAGAAGGAGCATCCTATTAAAATTGACGATTATTTAAGCGAAAAAGTGAACTTACACTATAATTTTTTATAAATCGTTTTTACTTATAAATATGTAGACTTGCATTTTGGATTCAAATTTCTCTTCTGATTCATGTTTTACTGATATAAAAAATATCGACGAAACTTTCAATGATAATTCATATTATAGTATCAGAACACGTTGCCAAACTAATGAAAATGTTGTTAATAAGCAATTTGATATGTTTCATGATGGCATGACTCCTGAAGGTGTAATTATTTGTGAAAGACAAGAACGACTTTTTTGTGGTCGCCATGCTCTTAGAGCTCTTTTACAAAATATCGATATATTTGATGATACATATTTAATAAGCGTAGGTGAACAGCTTGCAACAGACGAGTTATTCGTTCGTGAAAATGCGCATGGGTTTCGGCACGTTTATTTCAATGTTGCTAATGGTCATTACAACATTAATGTTATTCACCAGGCTCTTCGCGAAAAATCTCATATTGAACTTATTCAGTTATATCGAATTACTGAAACGTCAACCTTGTGCCATCGATTGATTTTAAATAATATTTTTGATATTCAAGCGCTTTTTATTCAAAAAAATGAGCATTATTTTTGTGTTCGACGATTTGATTGTACATTGAATTATTTCTTCATAATAGACTCGTTAAAACCAAATAATCATGAAACAATTAAGCGAGATCAGATACATAATTATATTAAATATTTACAAGAAAATGAAAGTTCAGTATTTGTTCCTGTCTGTTCTAATATTGCACAAATGGAAAATATTTCATCGGATTTAATATTTGCCTTAATTCATCCATTACCAACATGTCTAGCTGACCAAGTTCCTTTAGCAGTGAATAATCAAACAAATTTTATTTTTGAATAGTGAAAACCTAATAAATGTCTATACATATATATATATATATATATATATATATAAATTTATTTATGATAAATGCATAATAGTAATCTTTATATGATATATAAATAAAACTAAATTTCATAAAATGAATGTTTTTTTTTATATAACAAGAAGTAATCACTGCTGTCTTCAGTTCCAAATTATGTGTATACGATTAGCCTAAAACTGCTAATCGTCAATTTCCTTTTTAGTTTGTATTTAAGTATTTCAAACTAAAAAGGAAATGAGAGTTGTATCTATAAAAATAATTAATTGTTTTTTTGTTTTCATTTATGATTATTTTCCAATGTTTTATGCTTTATTATTTTGTATATCTATTAATGAGTATTTGCTCCTTATATATCTATTTTTATGTATATACAAATAATAAATAAAAATAAAAGAAAGAAATTAAGACAAGACAAAAACTCTCGAAAATGTTATGGATTCGATTTTGGATGACAAAGCAGATATATTTTAATTGTATGTCATTATAAATATTTCAATATTTAAATGTTAATAACTTATTTTTTTGAATCATTATCAACTGTTTCTAAGAATGTAGAAAACATTAGACGTTTTTATTTAATTGAATTTTATTTTACCTTTATCCAAAGAGTCAACTTTTTTGAAAATTTTCAATTCTGAAATTATTCCTGTATTTTGATCAAATTTGAATTCTACAATTACATTTCCTAATGCATTAATAAAATGTTCTTCATTTATAAGATGGTTAATATTAGTATATGATTCATTAATGCAAGTTAAAACTGGTATCAAAATTATTTCCGATACAAACAAATTATATTCGTGTCGATTATCTGTTGTTATTGTAATTTTGAATAATTGATCTTTTTCAATATTATATTTCGGTATTCGACATTGACAAATATTGCATACTATGCAGTATGTCTCTTCTATAACATCAGGCTTTCCACATGCTTGACATGCATATTCCAGTTGATTTTTGGATAAATTTACAATTCGACCGTAGCAACTACGTAAGTTTTTTATAGTAGAATCAACATTTGTTTCAACAATGCCCAGATCGTCAATCTTTATAAACCTATTCAAATGATTTTATAATTTTATTAATCTACGATAGAAAATTCATACGATGTATCTGCATTTGCTGAGAATGATAATTCAAAGTTAATTAAACGACTTTTCACAAGTTTAATTTGATAACAGTTTCCTAATTCGATTTTGTTAAACTGAGATTCCCATAAAGTAATTTCAAGAGCACCTGTTGCATCACCAACTATAGCTATTCTTTTAAATTTTTGTACTTTTTTAAAATCTGATTCTTCAAAAGTACAGAGTATATCATTTCCGATTTCACAAATTTTAACTTCAATTGTACATAATCCTTCAAAGATATTATTCTTTAAATTTTCAATCGATTGTACACGAACACAAATAGGACGAAATGTTAATTCTTTATCAATTAATTTTGTTGCAAAGGTACATAAGTATTGATCGTTTTGTTCTCGTAAGGCAGTAATAGAAGCTCCACATCCACCAAGCATTGATTCTTGTAAACGTTTGTGCAATGCACACGATGCAATTTTCGATAAAAATTTTGTTATTCGAACAGTACTTTGATCCATTAGTGATAAAAGGAATGAATAATGATGATTTTCATTATTATTATTTTTTGTTATTATGCCAACATTTACAACATAACCATCAAGAGTAACTAAAGATGAATTTTTGTTTTCTTCTTTGGTAGAATTTAACGAGCGTTTCATAATAATATGAATTTAATTGATTAAAATATATAGATCAGATAAATTAATATAAGAGTGATATAACAATAGATTATTTGAAATAAGCGCTTAATATTGTTTAGTTACCTCGCATATATATATATATATATTTATTTAATTTTTAATTCAGCGCATCTCTATCCCTTTTATTATCAAACATGTTTCAAATAAATGATTTTTATAACAATCAGTCATATAATTGTTTCACTATGAATTATTCATGCATGATTTTAATTTATATCTTTTATGTTAATATGCTAAAACTCTAAATTTAATTCTTTTTTTTTCAATCTCTACACAATGTATATTCAAGCTGTAATAAAAGACAAATTATGTTTTAAATAAATTTTTGATAAACTAAATACTTTCTATATTCTTGAAAAGTATAGTGTAAATTATTTTTAAATGGTAATATCATAAAGAATTAAAATACTTCAAAACGTCTTTCTCATGAAAAGTTTTTACTTTTATTTCTTAATCATTTTGACAATTGTTCTCATATTTTTTTTCTGATTAACTTTGACAAACATATTTGTTTTTTCTACTAATATTGGATTAATTAGCATATGTCATAATGCCTGATTTATAAACAAACACATTTTATATATTTTTAGTTATTATTAATATAATACTTACATTTATATGTTATTATACTTTAATAGTGCTATAGTAAATAATCTGTTTTGTGGATATACTATCATATGTGATATATTTTCAGATTAAGTTTTAATTATATGCAATTTTTTTATAAATAAAGTGTATAAATTTCAATTATTTTTGTTATTAATGAATTTAACAGTTGACATTAGTTCACACATTTTATATCAAGTATGCTATAGACTAACAAATCACTTCAGAATAAAATTATCAGAAACCACATGCATAATTGAAACTTTCGATTCCTGGATACATTTTGGTATTGCAAATATTGGAGCAGTCATCATGATCATCAGAATACTTTTACCATTGAAACATATGCTTTTTTCTCGTTGCTATGGAAACTCATGAAATACTGTTTGATTTTACCCCCCTCTGGTTACTAAGAAAATTTATCCCAAAAATATTGATTTCCCGCCACTTGGTTGCTGGGGCCTAGGGGGGGGGGGGGAGCCGCAAAACCTCGTTCTACAACTTACACTCACTATTTTCTTCGAAAATATTGGTGAGGTCCACAAAATATAATAGTCATGTTCAATATTTTTGAAAAAAAA